CAACACCCCAAGAAAAGAGAAAGAATTGTCCCCTCCTCGGCGCACAGCTCCTTTGGCAGAGCACACACAAAACCAATTCACTGGCAGTGGGATGAAGCTTAGCCCGAATTAACACTGCTCTAGGGAAGTCCCTTTCGCTGCGCTCAGCCACTTTGAGCTATCAATTATGCGTGGCAACCTGCACACTCCACTTGAAGTGTTTCTGGAAGATCCAACATTACCACGAAACTTAAACGTTGTGCGATTAGATGTTGCCAATCTTCCGTCAAGCTCTTGTGGCAAAGTAAGCTCTTATTTATCTGACATCACAAATAAAGAACATAAATACTGCCACATTAAAGTCTGGCAATCTACATCAGTGAGGGCTATCACCGTTGTGGATACGCATGTGCCTAACCAAATGACTGCTCTCTGAGAACCTCTTTTGGCAGATGGTACATTTATGAGGCCGATCACCGCTGTGGACCCGCATATGATTAATTAAAGTAGTGCTGTGTGTGAACCTCTTTTCGCAGACGGAACATTTATGAGGGCGTTCACCATTGTGGATACGCATGTGAGTAATTAAATTACTACTCACAGAGAAACTCTTTTGGCACACGGAACATTTATGAGGGCGTTCACCGCTGTGGATCCGCATGTGCTTAACTAAACTACTGCTCTCTGAGAACCTCTTTTCGCAAACGGTACATTTATGAGGCCGATCACCGCTGTGAACCCGCATGTGCCTAACTAAATGACTGCTCTCTGTGAAACTTTTTTCGCAGACGGAACATTTATGGGGGCGCTCACCGCTGTGGATACGCATGTGACTAACTAAATGGCTGCTCTGTGTGAAACTCTTCTGGCAAACGGGACACTTATGAGGACGTTCACCGCTGTGGGTCCGCATGTGTGTAACTAAATTACTTCTGTGAGTAAAGATCCTTTGGCAGAGAGGACACTGATGAGAGCGATTAGCGCTTTGGAATCGCATGTGCCTTCTCTTGAAACGTGTTATATCATTACCACCTTCCTTTTTCTGCTCCATCCCAACTTCACATCCGCCTTCTAAAGTTCTCGGTTCACAGACTGATTGTTCATGTACGCGCTTTGCGGTATTCAGCTTCGGAAACTGTGACTCATTCTCTGCTGCCTGATCCTTGCGCACAGGACTCTCGCTTCCTTTCACTTTTGTTTTCCCAAGAGCTATGTAGTTTCCATCGATGAGTGGGGGCGTGCTGCAGACTCCATTACGAATCTGTGACCTTGAGCCCAAGATGTCACGCACAGTTTCGTATTCTCCACCTATGGAAGGAAATACTTTGTTAGCATGAAGCAGGTCATTTTAGAAAATCTGCTCTCCAACCTGATATTATGGTAAATGATAAATATCTACAGCCACTATTTGGGACCAGGCAAAGTGGCGCAATTACTGTACACTAAAAATTATTTATATCTTGACAAGGGACATTACGTAGAAGTGTTGTATTTAGGGATCTGAAAGTACGTTTCTCGGCGAGATGAAAACTGGTTCCAGTGGTTTGTGTAGATTTGTTCAGAGGACTCCGATGCAAGACAGTTGCAGTGAAGTCTCAAGTTAAATTGCCTTATTAATATAAACAGTATATGTCAATGAGGAATTAAGAGATTTATTATGAAGAGAATCATCAGACTAAAAGGTCTAGATAATTTTCTTATAGAAGTTAACAGGATATATTCAAACTTTAAGGTTATTAAGACCAAAACCTACGTACAAATGTTCGGAAAACCCGATGCAGGCCATTGGAAATAAAAAAAGGCGTTACATGGAAATAAGTTTCACTTATTTTCACAGGTTGTTGACTGCCTGTCTAGTACGATGTGTGTTCCTGCACGTCGATATATGTTTTACGGGAAATGTCATAAAAATCGCTACTCCACGAATAACCCTCCGGTCGCTTGATGAAATAACACGCGTAGGATGAATACGTCGTTTACGGTTTCGCGCATGATCGGTTTGTAGGGAAATTAGTTCATCTATTTATTATAATCGAATTCTAGAACAAAATTGTAGTATTTAAATGATTATTTTCAAGGTCACAAAATTCAGTATATTTAATCCCATTAAGTTTCTGGTTTTGTGTCTTTCAGTTTGGTTAGAAAATGTTTGTCACAAATCGAAGTCGGATAAAAGATTTTTTAATTATTCAGACTGAGAAGTTTTAAGTATCATCCAGCATATTATTACAGTCGGTAAATATTGGTGAGTTTCAGTGCAAGACATTGATCGCACCAAAGTGAATCAAAAAAATGTTTTGTTTGCTGAGATTTCTATTGAAGATTGGGTTGATTGAGTTTAGAGGGCGCTTGAACTACAACATTCATTGGCGCCTACGTCAAAGTATTTTTTAATTGAAAAGATTTAGTGAATCTGTTGTCCGATATAATTTGACCGCTGATTAAAAGCATGTACGTGACCTAAAAAGAATTCTAGAATTCCATTTACCACAATTCCATATACCAGAAGATAATGCAAAAGAAAAATATGCAATATTCGTTTCATCACTTGCCGGAATTCGCTGCTCGCGGATTGCGTCATCTGCCGGCGTCTCCGCCTTTCCCCCTGAACTGGACGGTTCCGGACTATTCGCAAGTCGCGGGGAAAGGTGTAGAAAGTGCTGGTTGTGTCAGGACGAGCGCCGGCCAGGTATAAATTCGCCGCTGCCGGCGGCCGCGAGTCACAGTGTAAGTAGTCAAGAAGTAGAGTCAGTCGGGAGTAAGCAGCCGCGAATCAGTTAGTGTGTGCAATCAGTGAGTCCGTCAGAGTGTCTGAAGTGAAAGCTGAGCTGTAAAGTGTGCATTGGGGTGAACAGTGGTACACAGAGTGAACAGGAGTCAGCAGTTTGAAGTCTGCAGTGGAAGCTGAGCTGTGAAGTGTGCATAGCGGTAAAAGAAAAAAAGAAGAAAAAAAAAAGTGCAGTGGACCCTGGTCTGCGTAGTGAATTGTGGTCTGCGGTGTGGATTGTGGTCAGTGCAGTGAAGTGTGGTCTGTGCAGTGGACTGTGGAAAATGCATAGGATTGTGCGATAGTGTAGATTGCAGAGAACAGTGTAAATATATAGTGTATAAGAAATAAACTGTGTAAATAAATAATCAAGAGAACGGAGTCGTGTGTCAATAATCAAGTGTAGAACACAAGGATTGTGTAATATATGTGTAAATAAATCAAGTAGTTTTAGTGTATAATTCTTTACAAAGAAACGTTAAATTTTACCCGCGTGTGTTTTAATTCACCACAGAGAAACGTTACAATATGATCAAACGAACACGTAAAATTTATCATAAAACGTAGGGCTGGCTGCAAAGGGCACAAAAAAATAAAACATTGTTTTTATTTCTCAAATAAAATATATATTTCCACTTTATTCCACATGCGCAAACAGTGCTTCTGTAATACGCGATTCAATTCACGCCATTCTTTCTGCGCAACCCTACAGATCCAACAGGCAGACAATTTAGTTGCAACATTAAAGAACACAACGTTGGAAACAAAATTTAGATACTTCCACCTTACTTGATCATTTGATTCAATTTAACTGTTTCCACCCCAATCATAACTTGAAATTTCTTCACTTTAAATACAAAGAGGGAAAAAATTGAAAATTTGGAAATTTTAAAACTTTTCAAAAATACTACTTTATCTATCCTTAATGAACACTCCCTAATAAACAGCAGCTCCATTTTGAATCTTTTATTGCATAAGATAGCGGCTGCCATCACTGAATTTAATTAAAATTAATTGGTTCTTCAAACTTACCAACAGGTAAGGCGCTATCGCCAAAAAGATTTTCATTGCACATTGCCAAAGGATCCTGCACGAAAGAAGGAAAAAACAATTCGTTAATGATGCATCACATTGTGAGAACAGCCTCTTATTTATTCTGAGGCAAAAGATAACAAAACGCCATTTAATATATCTATTGTGATTCATTAAAGTTTAAAAAGCATTTCAACAACTACGGCCTATGGCTGTGGTATCAAATAATTTGGAACTAATATAAGAAAGGACGGTCGTAAATATAACTATCGTCCTGGTTACAAGCACACGACCTAAAGGCTGTAAAAATATAATAAACAGATATCATAGTTATTTGTAATACTGGCCTTAGTTTTAAATTATTAAATAAAAAAATTATTACGGTACAACAAACCAATACTCTCCAAAGAAATTAAACACGCAAACAACCAATTGAAACTGCATCTGAGAGACACACGAGTTAAATTATTTGAGCTTAACTTTCTCTCAGAAGAACATTTCACCCGGCATTACCTTCACCTGAACCTTGCACTCGGTAGCAAGCTTGCAAAACACCCTTTCATAACCTCGGCAGTGTCCGGTCAAAGACCCATCCACGCCCACATCTCCCAGTTCTCTTCCATCCTCCGGGACCTCTTCAGGACTAATTACCTCATCCCCTGAACCTAATCCTTACACTAATTCTCCCACTGTTCATTTAACTACATATGTCGCTCCTCCTTCCTCATCTGTCACAGCTGGGGCTCGATCCTTCCTTTGTTCACGCACTCGACTGACTTTTTGTCAGAATTCAATTTATATGCAGTTGAAAAAGTTTTTTAAAGAACTGTCGTACATCGTACTACGCTCAAAACTATCTTACTTTGCATCTAAAGACCTCCAACAAAGCGAGCTTTGGATAATTTCATTTTCTTGAAAATCTAGAGATTACTCTGAACAAAATTAGTCATTTATCTTTTAAATCCATTGTCAAATGTTGTTATAAGAGATTACAATATTGAGTTTCTGAGTGAATCCTACGAAAAAAAACAGCTGTTCAATTTACTGCATTATTTTAATTTAGATATTACAGTGAATGTACCTACACGGAATACATTTAAATCACAAAAAACAATACATCAAATTATAATTAACAAAATCATAACTAGATATGAAATAAAAACTACTAATCTTGGTTACAGGGACCACGATGCCCAAATACTTACAATTACTAATAATATGAACACTGACTCTAAACAATAATGCTTGCGTGTGCAGAACATTCGCTTAAATTAACATAAAACTACTTACGGACTACTTGCTACAGGAATCATAGGACACCGTTTACAGCACAACACAGCTATTGACACAAATGAAAATTTATTTTCCTCAAAGTATTCATTTCACTTTAACGCATGCTTCCCTCTCAAAAAGAGAAAATTAAATATTTCACGGAAAATAATCCTATATAATATGTTATGGAAGAAATATTATTTTTATAATTACATATTATCTCGTTTTGGTATCACTAAGAGAAAACATACTTAGGCAGTTGGTACCGGTGGTATCTCGTACCGCACCACACAACACTTTACGTAACTGTGAAAAGACGCGACTTGAGATGCTCTTACTTTGTTCAGACATCGTCCCTAACAAGGAAGGCTTTGAGTCGCTGGGCGTGTAGACATGACAAGCAGTTATTGTTGCGCCAGTGTCAACTTGCCGGCGCGGTTCACGAGACCGCAATGCCAATTAAAGGCTACGGGTGTTTGACAATGTATTAACTACCAATTAATAATATTTGTGCGTACGTTTTTGGACTTTCATTTAAATAGATATGAAACAAAGTTCACAACCAAACTAATAGCATACATTGTAAATAATATACACGGATCTCAAGTTAAAGCATTGCTCTCAAACTTCTAACTTGCTACCTTTGAATTAAAGTTCAGAGAATTTTAAATAAAACAGCACGTTTGTTTCTACTAATTCTTCACAGAATATCCTAATTTCATAACACATATTCATGTTACAAGTTCACATTGCAGGGACCGTTGGTATGTCAAGTAAAGGTAGTTTTTGAATGGTGATGCAGGTTTTTGATCACTGTATAATTACATCAAATGTTTTTACGTAAGTGTTGTAAATTGTTACAAGAACATCTGACTGAAATGCTGAATAAACCTTTATTGAAAATTCGCTTCAAACAACAATTGTGTTGCTTTTTATTTTTATTTGATACTCTGTAAGTAAATTAAAAGTTATCTTCATACATTTTCCTTCTTTATATGGAAATAGAAAGATATGGAAGAGGGTAGGGTATACTAGTTACATTACATTGTTCTTGCTAAAAACCTTTTCAAACAGTTCAACTCACCAGCGTACAACACTGCTTCTAATCTCTCATATTGCGGCAACCCTTTCTTGAACGACTTTCAGAAATCACAAATAGATGTTTCACCGTTTAAAACGGAACTGTGGTTAGAGGCTCTATTCTTACCTTTTGTTCCTGCTTCACCTCTCCAATGGGCACCTCCTCCGGATCCAGAAACACTTCGAATGGTGGCTTTATTTCCTCCTGAAAGTAGATCGAAACTCACCAACTTCTTTCTCTGATCACTGGTTCCTAATCACATACATCACACATAAGCCATAGAAGATTCGGTTATAATAATCGGTTAACAGTGCACATAGGAAATACAACTCCCAGGAAATAATACTTCACCTCAAAACACTAAGGATGTGCAGTCAGAGGGACAACTCAGATATCTCCCAGGCATTTGCAGCGAATGAAAGGGAGTGAATAAATAGCATCAGCTCATCAATGGGAATTTTTTCATACTGAAGATTTTTCACAGACGTGGACTGCACTGTCACACTAACAATACGATTTAGTTAGAGCTGTATGGAAGAGGTGAAAGGGCTTCCTGAGTAGAAGACAATGAGGATCAGGAACAGGAAGATACAATTATAGAAATTGTTACAACAGTGAAAGGAATACTGAAGGGTTCTTCGCCACATATGATATTTAATGAGAATGTGCATTGAAATATCAAGTGTAAAGAAATATATGGTAAAATTAAACCAAATAAATAGCTTTAGCTTAAAAATAAACAAAATCATAGTAACTAACCCATTAGTGTCTGCTTCGTTTGGGAATGGTTTTGTCTTATACATAATTACTTTCTCTATACTACATATAGAGTACAGGTTGAGGATAGAGTTAAAAATAAACTATATATCATAGTAATTATCCATTAGTGTCTGAAATTTTTGGGGGAATTTGTTTTTGTGTTATACATAATTACTTTCTCATATACGTAGTATAGTGAAAGTCATGAAATGCTGTCCAGAATAAATTGTGAGATTTCAAAATAAAATTACGTTTTATAGTCATCTGATAGGATTATTTTTAAAATGGATATTCCCTAGTCAATCTGGCTTGACTCGAGGCAGCGAGATTTTCAAACTTTTCTAAAAATTGGGGGGTCCTTTACACAAAGCCCCAGGGAAATTTCAAAATTTTTCTCAAAAATGGCTACAAAAGATTTCTTTCTTTAAGAATACACTTCTAATGAACGGCATATATCCGTTTTCAAAGTTAACTTTGAATTTTTGAAAATTTTAAACGTTTGATTTCTTTGGAGCCTTTTTGCAACTACAAAATTAAAGTTAAGAGAATTTTT